CCCCGAAACTTGTGTGGGGGTGTGCCGCTGGGACCTCAAAACCCTGACCCTGTTCCAGAGTGAAATCGCTGAAAACTATACCCTGTTCCAGAGTAAAATCGCTGAAAACGATACTCTGTTCCAGAGTAAAATCCTGCACTAGCTTGCGTGTAGACCGAATTTTTACCCCATGAATTTTTATCCAGCATCAATAATTCCGGAATTCAACCCTGACCCTGTTCCAGAGAAAATTCGTTGAAATTGATACCCTGTTCCAGAGTAAAATCGCTAAAATCGATACCCAGTTCCAGAGTAAAATCGCTGAAAACGATACCYTRGYTRGCGGMACGTCCCCGTATAGCGAATATAGGGGAGTACCCCCCCCGGGATGTTACTCGTATGTGACTTGTGGGTAGTTTTAGCAACGATCACAACGATATCAGTAGACTTATTATTAACTTGATTTTCTGGCTGCACAAGCCACCAAGGAGGAAAATCGTTAAACTTGGACTCGGATTCGGAATAGCGGAATGGAAATAAACTAAAGCAAATTAGTTAGCGGTAATACATCTTCTTTCAACTTGAAAACATGACCGAAAATTAGCTTAATGAAGATTACAAATTAGCATTTATAATTGGATCATAGAAATATATTTAAGTTGAACAATGTATATTTTTTATCAGGTGCGTAGCGTCCTTTACGGATATACGCACGTGCGTACTAGTGGCAAGGAAATATCAAAATTTTCACAATTATTATAAGTAATAGCATGGCTTCCTCGGGAGATTAGGGATTAAATGTCCCCGAAGCCGAGGGCAGATAAGTTAAAGTCCCGACGGCCGCAACTTTGTAATACCATGATTTTCGAGGAAAAAATAATTGTAGTTGAACTTGAGCGAATTTGAATTCTTGTTTTTTTGCATGCTCCAATGTTTTCAATCAGAAGTAATATAAACATTGCAACAAACAATTCATGCATTAATTGGAATGTGACATGAAAAGAATAGATACGCACTGTTCTAAGAGTATCCAGTACTATATTGTGTCATTGAAAAGGTTCTCGCAGAACAAAAGTACAAAATGATATTGGTAATCCGACCATTGTTACTGATTTCCCACAACGAACTTTTAAACAATTGCTTTTCACTTCTATTCAACGCTGAAGTTAACGAACCTTAACTTCAAGCCCGAAAAGTTGTTTTTATATTTGCAAATATAATGCCAAGAAGCTTATCAACTATTATCAAACATTGAAATTCGTCAAGTGCACATGCTCAGCGGTACGAAGTAGTGACTCGGAACCAGAGCTACTCGGTCAATTTGGCCCAAAAATCACCCCACATTTCAGTGTGTCTGAGACGATAACGAGAGCGTTTATTGCAGAGGTAAAAAATAAATAGCTACTAACTACTATATAATTACTAATCACTAGTACTATTTGTATGGGTACTTATGGGGAGGGACTGCATTCTAGTATATATTATCTTTTTATATATTATAACTAGCTTAGATAGGTGTCCCCAATTAGCCTTACTATTGTAAGCTAGATAAATCTGACACGTAAATAAAGTTTATTATTATTATT